AAAATTTGATTTACTTTTCATTACCTCTAAAGAGGTGCTCCCTCACTGCATCAGTGATGGTGGTAAATGCACTGTAAAACAAAACAGCAAAATGAGTCCATCTTTGCTTCATTACATTTTACTTGAGCCCTTTAAAATATTAACTATTTTGTAACTATGTTTTTCTAATGATAGATTCAAAATGATTAAAAGTGGAATGTAATATATATCTATAAATTTAGTGTATACTTCGAACAAGGAATCTGCATTTTGATATCTCTTCAATAACGACTGTAAACAATGTAGTAAAACTATGATTAGTTAAAATTTAAATAGTAGACCAAATTAAAAAATTGTACCATTTTCTTTTATAATCTAAGTAACTAAAATTAGTAATAATGAAAACTAAAATATATTTCTCAGATCCTTTTCTCTTATTAATAACATGTGCAGACAACTCCAGCCACATAATTGTGATATGTTTATGAAGTACTTATATATTTATAAAGATAAATTTGTGAAAATTTACTTATTCATATAATAATTGTCTTCACTGTGGCTAATGTTAGTGATGGGAGATAGTTGTTTAAACCCAAGTAAATAATGTGTTACTTTATTTAAAAGTAAGCACTGGACTAAAACCTTGCACCATCTTAAGGAGTGTGGGTAAATGAAATATTTTATCATTATACAATATTACTGTTTTAAATGATGAGACATTTCTTCTTGGCCTTCTGTACAAAATAAAGTATAGATGGACAAAAATTTAAAAAATGAGCTATATGTACATAAAAATGAGCTTTGAATAACCTTATTAAGAAAATGGATCTGAGCCAGACGTGGTGGTGCAATCCTTTAATCCCAGGATTTGGGAGGAAGAGGCAGGCAGATACTAGAGAGACAAATGGCCCATCTGGTCTACATACTAAGTTCCAGGCCAGCTAGGGCTGCAGGATTCTGTCTCTCTGTCTCTCTGTCTCTCTATCTCTGTCTCTCTCTCTCTCTCTCAAAAAAAGATCTAATCCTATGTTGAATAATTTGTTCTGAAAATCACTTATGTTAAACAATAAAATAATGAACAAATTCACATGTCATTTATAAACTAGAGAAGTTTTGGTGGGTTTTTTTTTTAAATCTCTTCTCTTTTAATGTTATTTTTTTTAAGATTTTTTTTTTTTACCTGTTAAATATTTTAACTGTTGCATTGCACCATCTCAGATAGGACTAGTGTCCTGTCATTATACCTGAAACAGTGTTTCGGGTCATCTATTGCTTAAATTGCCCTCTGCTCTCCCAGTTGTTGCTTGCTTTCTAAAGCAGTGTGTCAGTTACTTCAAACTGTATTACACGGCGATTCCATTCTGCCCCTGTGGCCAAACATGTCTGACTGCTGATCAATATATCTGTATTCGTTTCACCTTTCCCCCACTTTCTGTTAGGTTCTGAGCTCATGCCCAAAGCGCTCTCCACCAGGATAGTGGGAGGCATTTGGTGGTTTTTCACACTTATCATCATTTCTTCGTATACTGCTAACCTAGCCGCCTTTCTGACAGTGGAACGCATGGAATCTCCTATTGACTCTGCTGATGATTTAGCTAAACAAACCAAGATAGAATATGGAGCAGTAGAGGATGGTGCAACCATGACGTTTTTCAAGGTAAGTGCTTCTCATTTATAAAATTTAACAGTAAAGTGATAAAGTACAAATAACCCTATTCTTCAATGTAAGGATGCAGCTATACCATTATTTGCACCAAATAAATAATAGCATATAACAGAATGAGAGTTCTACAACTAAATATATGCCCATCAAAACTGATCTTATCAATACTTCAAATGGAAAGAAGTCTGAAGTAGTTTCTGCACAATGGTATTACTTTTAATACATTTTTTATTTGAATGAAAAGTCTGTATCTTTATTGAAAACTGCTTAGTAGATTCAGAATCCACAAATATTCAAGAATGGAATGCTTACATTTGAGAAAGCGTCCATTTGTTTTTGTTGAAATAAGGTAGCTTATACTAGCTACTTTTGATCTTTTTAATTTTTGCAAGACACACAGTGTATAAATGAGCTATATTAGTAAATTCACAGTGGTCTCCAGAGGGACAACCTGTGTAGCATTTACATTGGATGTGCAAATGCTTGGTTCTCCTGGCACAGCATGCCTTACCCCTCTCTTTCCTGCTTATTTCAGGGACAAAAGTACAACACATAGGGAATTTCCACTTAGGTGTTTAGCATTATGTAGTCTCCTTTTACAGTTTATCAAGTACTTTACATGCTTTGTAGCTTGGTAAATTTTTTTTTTTTTTTTTTTTTTTTATTTTTTTGAAGCAGGGTCTCCCTGTGGCCCCAGCTGTCCTGGACTCACTGTGTAGACCAGGCTAGCCTTGAACTCACAGAGATCAGAGATCGGCCTGAGTCTGCCTCCCAAGTGCTGGGACTACAGGCATGTGCTACCACGCCCGCCTAGATTGGTAAAATTTTTAAGGATTAACATTTGGCTCTTGTGTTCATTCAAATGCAACTGACAATTAATGTATAGCAGCACTCAGGAGGCAGAGGCAGGCAGCTGACTGTGAGTTACAGGCTAGCCTGGTCTACATAGCCAGTTCCAGGCTACCTGGCTCTACCTGAAACCCTCTCTCAAAACAACAAAACAAGACAAAAAAGTAATTTATCTTAAGTTCATAAATTATTTCATCAAGCATGCTTTGATTGTCTACCTAATGCCACAAATTTCACTACTTATTGTGTGTTCTACAGAAACTTTAATCTCTTTATCACTTTTAATGAGACAGAAGTTTAAAGACAAAAGAATAAATAAAAATAAAATTGTCATGATTTAAAAAAGAACATACAGATTATGGTATTTTCTTTGTAAAATTCCTTATAAAACTATATTATTTTTCAAAAAAAAGGAGTTCTAAAGGAAATAAAATATCCAAACATCATAGTTCATTTAGTTAGCTCCATATCATTTAAAATTTTTAATTATTTTTAA